CAACTTGGAAGGAAAAGGGCTTATTTCATCTTCCAGATAATAGTCCATCACTAAGGAAACCAGAACACAGGTTCAAGCTAGGCAGGAACCTGAAGTCAGGAGCTGACGCAGAGGCAGTGGAGGAGTGTTGCATAATGGTTTGCTCCTCATGTCTTGCTCACCCTGTATCTTTACAGCACCCAGTATCATAGCCCAGAGGTGGCACCACCCACAGTGAGCTAGGACATACCATATCCATCAACAAACAAGAAATCCAGTTGCCCACCAGACAATCCAGTTGGGGCTTTTCTCAGTTGAGACCCCATCTCATGACAAGTTGACACAAAACTATCTGGCTCATTCACCCATTCCCATACCATAAGGTATCCTCTTACCTGAGTGGCTGGACCCAACAAGAGTCTTCTCAGGCTAAGCTTCTTCTGCCTTTAGGGAAAGCTGTCCCGTCACCCCAGAATACTCTGAAAGGACTTGGTGCACATCCGTTGCAGCTTGTCTTCAAAGTCCCTAAAACTCAAGTCTCTCCGTGTTTACTCTCTAACATCTCACCTTTTGAATGTGAGTCAGACTTAGGGACCCTACTGTAACCCAAAGAATGCTGTTGAGGTGGCACTGGTTGGCTTCTGGAGGTAGTCAGGAAAAACACCTTGTTCCTTGCAACTAAGGACAGCCAGTACTCAGGAGGAAGTCAGTCTCGAAACTGCCATCCAGTGAGGCATGCAAGCTAGTCATGTGAAAAGATACCTTCCAGCCTAACCCTCCTCTAGCCATATATATGAAGAAGTCTTCCTATGACTATTGTCTCAACACACACACACACACACACACACACACACACACACACACACACACACCAGCCCCCACCATGGCCTATAAAGTCATTGAGAAGCAAATTCTGGGGTCAATATCCAGAAAGTCTTGAGGTAACTATTATTTGGCCATAGATAACCGGGAATATACCTGGAGGTATATACTGGTTTTCTGTTTACCCTAGGCAAAACAGAGGAGATGATCCAAGGGTGAGTGCATCCCTGAATCTTATCATTTTAGAGTGCTGAAAGGCATGGGGACTCATGAAGCGTCTGACAAATGAACTGAAAAAGACTGAGCTATTGGAATCTGGGGAGATGGCTCAGAGGGCAAAGGGCTTGCTGCTTGCTTGGATTCCCCAGAACCCGAAGAAAAAGGCAAGTGAGGTATCACACACTTGTTATGACAGCTCTGGCCAGTCAGACATAGGATCCTGGGGCTTCCTGGCAAGCCTGTCTAGCCAATCAGTGAGCTTTAGGTTCAGTGAGAGACCATGTCTCAGAAGAGTAGGTGCAGAGTAGAGCTAGAAAGATGGCTTAGAAGTCCAGATAACAGACACTCTTATATACACACATACATCATACATGCATACATACATACTGCATACATACATACATGCATACATATAAAATAAATCATTTTAGAGGGACAGTGATAAAAACAGCAAACATTGACCTCTGGCCCTGCACACAGTTTCTTTGTTCTTTTCTTAGAAAAACTTCATGAACTTGCTGTCTCACTACTATAAATCTGTGTTCCTGGGCCATAGTCACTCATATTTGTGCTCTCACATAAGCTACACATCTTATTCCTTGAAAGTGAATAAACAATCCCCAACGATAAGGCCAAGAGTCAACACGAAGTAAGGCTAGAATACCCACAGGTAGGTGAAAATAATGACATTCACCCTGTGTTTTAAGCAGTTATTATAATTGAGTGACAGACAGTTGCCAGAACAGGCAACAACCGGAACGACTCTGTGCCCAAAGCTGTCATCAGCACAAGTTTGAGGAACCACTTTTCCAAGAAATGAGCCTCCCTAGAGGTAACAAAGTCTTCATGATCTTTCTTTCTTCCCTCAGGGAAGGGTTGGCAAGACTTCTACTCCCCTATTTTGGCGAGTTTTGTCATTTGTTAGTCTTCTGAAATGAAGCAAGTTATTGAAATGGGTGCCTATTGGCCATTTCTCCCTGAAGAAGAGTACTTTCAGCATGGCATTGACCTGTGGTGAGATTTTTGTCAGCAAAGAACAGTATGAAAAAATGACTTCATAGCATACAGTTGAGGCCATCTCTGACTTGTGTCTATCAGTAAGGGCTGGTGTTATACCTAGGAGGTTGGGGTTCCTGCAATGTGCTCTTTGGACTTAGCATGAGGACTGCTTCTCCAGACCATTTCCAAATGTAACCCCAAACCTGATCATCACAAATAGGGAGAAAATATCAGAGACTGATTTCTAGAAAGACATGTGGTCATTATTGTCAAAGAGAGGGACACTGGGCTGACTGAACATATAGTAGCTGACCGAAGATTTGTCTAGTGGATAATAGATCTTTTTCCATTGGTCTGTGGCTGTGAGTTTTTTAAATCTATCTCCACAATGCTTCTTAGTAGTGAGAAACAAAGCAAAGATTGATTCCCCTTCACAAGCTTCTGTTTGTCCATATAGCCAGGGTGCCTTTTCTCATCTTAGGCTAGCACACGCTAAAACTCTAATGAAAATACCAAATTGCTGTCCACAGGAAGACAAAATGAGGCTTTTAAATGACACAGACCTAAGATTAATATCTTAGTTAGGGTTCCTATTGTGGTATCGCCAAAAAGCAACTTGGGAAGGAAAGGGTTTACTTGGCTTACACTTCAGCGTTGTTATTCATCACTGAAGGAAGTCAGGACCAGAACTCAAGCAGGTAGGAACCTGGAGGCAGAATCTGATGCAGAAGCCATGGAGGAGGCTGCTTACTGGCTTGCTCCTCATGGCTTGTTCAGCCTGCTTCCTTATAGCACCCAGGACCACCAGCCCAGGGATGCTACCACCCACAATTGACTGGGGCCTTCCCATTGAGCACTAAGAAAATGCCCTAAATCTGGATCTCATGGAGGCATTTCCACAACTGAGGTTCCTTCCTCTCTAATGACTCTTGCTTGTATCAAGTTGACACATAAATCAGCCAGTACAGTCATCAATCCTAGAAACATCTCCTGTCAGTACTTGTACAGGTACCTGCAATTTCAATGTCTCCTCTTTCTCAGGCAAGCTCTGACTGGAGTATTCTCCACACATTGGCCGCCAGATCTGCAAGCATTCCTGTTGGCATGCCCAGGTTTGGTTAAATCCACCCTACGCACAGGTCCCTGCCACTCTGCTCACATCTGTCCCCACGGTGCTGTAACCCTTTAGGTCTCTCACACCTAGAAGAGGTGCTTCATCCCTGTGCAACAAGATGGTACTGGCTTTAGCTCCACAAACCTGGAATATAACCAGGGTTCTAAGATGCTGAATGGAGCTGAGGTAGATGGGACTCGTTGACGGGCAGGTCCAGGGGATCTTTAGATAAGACTCTACATAGGCTCCTGATTTTGTAGGTACAGCTGTGAGATCCAAGATAGATGAAGGGCTAACCCAATACCATGTGTCATGTGGGTTATGGGGTGGGGTCTGGGATTCAATTCTCCTAATTCTTAGTCCTGGAATTCCTTATCCAAATTAAATAAAAATTACGTGTCATGCACTTGCTATATTCAAGGTTCTATGAAATAAGCATGGCTCATGAACTCAAGCAATTTCTATTTCTAGAAAAAAGGAACATATAATACATATATATATTTCACACATATATTTTGGAGTATGGTTTAATGTAAATTGAGCTTTTGCAAAAATGAAGTGAGATGAGAGCCCAGGTATAACACAAGATTGATTCCAGGACAACTGACCAGACACTCTGGGTACTCTGAATTGCTTCATGGTGGCCCCTCTCTGGTTTTGGCATCTGTTGTCAGCCACACAGTCTCTCCCTCATACTCACGGCTTCTCAACTGGAAGAGGCAATTAGTGTTTTCTGCTTCTAGCTCCGCTCTGGTGCTAGGGAGCCACTCAGGATTTATGCAAGACCCCTGGGATGGAGGTGACAGACTTCTAGGGAAGCATTCCATGAATGAAGGACAATTCTCAGTAGATGGACACCCAAGTCTTCCACCCTTCATGGGGAGAGGGTAAATTGTTGTGAGAAATTCTGCCCATCTGTGGGAACGGGGATCTTCAGTGAAACTGACTCATGCAGTCTATGTGATGACAACATGCAGAGCACAGAAGACACTGGCACTTCCTCTGTGCCTGGCCCTCTCCCTGCACCTCACATCTGCATCTGCTCCCTAAGATCTCTCCTCAGACTTGTGCCCCAGAGAACCTGGGGGAACACCTTGCTGTTGAGGAAACCAAAATCAGAACATAAAATCAGAGGTTCAAGATTGCCCCAGGATTTCCACAGGCCCAAAGAAAGCACTTTTGACCTATGGATCGTGTGTGTGTGTGTGTGTGTGTGTGTGTGTGTGTATGCGCAATAATATTCACTACTGCATTGATGTAAGGACATATAACATTGAGAGTGAACCCATTACCATTATATATATCCTCTGGGTTTTAAAGATTTTTTTCCCCAGACAGGGTTTCTCTGTGTAACGTCCCTAGTTGTCCTCAAACTGGCCTCAAACTCACAGAGATCTACCTGCCTCTGCCTGCCTCCTGAGTGCCAGGATTAAAGGCATACGCCATCACTACCTGGCTTAAAGATTTCTTTAATGATATATTTGTCCCTGGGTCTGCACATGCACAGGACAGACATGCGGATGCGCATGGAGGCATAAGATGGCCTGGAACTGAAGTTATAGGCTGTTGCAAGTCAAACAACGTGGGCACTGGGATCAGAAAGCAAAGCTCCCCCGAAGGAATGGCTTGTACTCTCAACCCCTGGCCATCTTTCCTGCCTTCTTCTGGTTTCAGTAGTATTCAAAATTAAACATTTCTATAGACCCCTAAACGCGTCATGGGTCCTAACAGGTACACCTGCTGCAGCGAAGAAAAGCACGCAGTAGACAAAGGAAGGTCACAGAACATCACATGACTGGCGCTACGCCCCAAAGGTCATGAACAGACTCAGTTTAATATGATCAGACGCAGGCATCATCTTCCCAGGTTATTAGTCTTTAAAATACTCATCTTTATTATATAAGCAAATCAGGTTTAATACACAAACTATGAATAATGCAAAAATATTAAGATAAGAATAGCAGTTTATTTTAATTTTGCCAGCCATTGTAAGCCCTGCACTGTAGCACATTTCCTGCTGGTCACTGAGAGGACTTGGCTTGGTGTTTGAATCATTTGTGTTAGTGAGATTTAAAACCAGGAGTCTTTGGCCTGGGGGCTAAGGGAATATTTTTCCTTCCTTCCTTTTTCTTCCTGGCATCTTTTACTGAGGATGGGACGACGTCTTTTGTCTGACAGTGACTGTTTCTATGATCTCTGGAAACTCCCATTACCTTCCCTTTATACACGGGTATTGTTATTTCCGTGTCCTGTGGAGGGTGAAAATCCACATGCTATTGGTTGGAGAGATGCTCAGCTGTCAACAGCAGGCAACATTCTTGATTCGACATCCCTGTCCTCCTCAGGCCCTGGGTTCACATGAACCTACCCACCCACAGACTTCTACAGAACTAAAAAGAAATCACTGTTTAATTTCGCAGAGTGTAGTCTGTCTGTCTGTGTCTGTCTGTCTCTCCTTCTCTCTCTCTCTCTCTCTCTCTCTCTCTCTCACACACACACACACACACACACAGACTTATTACACTTGTTTACAGCGTGCTGTCTGGATAGTTCAACAATGGTTACCTCATACTGAAAAGACTGAGACACTGGTAGTTGTTCAGTCCCCATCCAGTGCTGAGTCCCGCAGGGCTCCTGGAGAGCTGCCTATCTTTGGGCTACATTAGGCTCCCAAAGAGGTTGGTTCTAAAATCCCTGAAGAAACACTGTAACCCCAGGCTAGATGGACTTTCCAGAAAGAGTGAGAGCAAGCAGGCACAAAGAAAGTTGTCCTCCTTCCATGTCCATTTATATAGGCTGCAGCCAGAGGGCATGGCCCGGGTTTAGGGTGGGTCTTCCTGCTTCTGATTAAGAAAATCCCTCCAAGCAGGCCCAGCAGCCTGGGTATTAGTTTATTCCAGATGTGGTCAAGACAATGCAGATAAACCATTAAAAATGCTGTCTTCTATTTCCTAGTCTTGTCTGTTGAAGAGCACACCTGTAAACACTCCCCTACATCTAGTGTAACGTTTGGTTCCGGGTTTGTTGTTGTTGTTGCTGTTTTTTATCTGAAGTGACTTCTTACAAGTTTGCCTGTCGTGCCATACAACTATACTTCTCTCTCTTTCTAATTCTGGGTGTTTTCAACACATCTCTGATGAAAGAACCTTACCAGGTGATTTTGTCAGTGTGAACAGTTCCTCTGTGGGACTCCTGGCAGTCCCTTGTGATGGTCTTCTTCCACGATTTGTGAAGTTTTCTCCCTGGCTTTTTCTTGGTGGGAGCCTGGGGCATACTCTGAGCTATGGGGTCCTTCGTGGGAGTACACATGAGTGCTTCAGTTGGGGCTGGGTGGTTGGGTTCATTGTATTTTTTCTCCTTGTCAATAGCTCAGGCATCCACAGCACGCAAGCCAGTCCACTCAGAGCCATGGCCTCCCTGGTACACCAGATTCCGCCACAGGCCAAAGCAATCCGTCAACTCTTTTTAAGGTGGGTGTTTCATCTGTAGTGCATCTTCATGGGAAGTCAAGGGAGGGACCCAAGGCAGGGACCTGAGGTAAGAACAAAAGTGGAGACCAAGAGGAACGCAGTTCATCGGCTTCTCAGACATCTCTCTACCAGAACTTCACAATCTTCCTTCTGACAGATAAATTTGAATTCCCTACGTCATCCAGGCCTGGTGGTTCAGGCCTAGAATCCTTGCACTAAAGAGGCTGAGGCAGAGAGGATCACCCACAAGTTCAAGGCCAGGTTGAGCTGCGCGGTTCCTGATCAGCAAGGGCGAAGGGGTAAGACACTGTTTAAAATAATAATAAAATAAATAAAGATACAAATGCATATATAAAGAAAATGAATAAGATCTGAGTCTTCCCTTTTACCCCCGGTGATTATAGCATAGCTATTTAATCAGAGGCACACTCAGAACTTTGAGAGATACATTTGAATTGGGCTGAAACTGTTTAAAAGAATATGTTTGTACATTTTTTTTTCCTGAGGAGAGTCCACAGCTTTCATCAACTGACATAAGGGAATCTAAGCCTCAAGGAAGCTTGAAATCAATTGCTTCAAATCATCTCAAATGTCCCCTAAATTAAATCCAGCCCTTAGTGACACACTAGGAGCTGCAAATTTAGGTTTTGAGACATGGCCCCTGCTTCTTTCCTGGTGTCTATCAGAGCTCAGGGGAAGGGGCCAATCAGGGGCGCCATAAACAGGGTGCCAAGGGGACTCTTTACAGTGACACACGTGGATATTTGGGGGTTCGGTGGAATTGGGGAGAGGCTATTGAAGCAGTGATCAGTGTGTTAGTTGAGGGGAGTAAAACGCCAGCTGGAATCTGCCTGTTCTCCGTACCCCACCCATCACCTCTACTCCCGTGAAATGTAACAGCACAGAGGCGTAAGATAAACGGAATACACACGAGGGAGGGACAGAAAGCAGGACAAGAGGTTGGGCTGGCTGGAGTCACCTTCTGATGGCGAAAGGTCTAAGTCACCAGGAAAACATGGTCATTTAAAGCGTCATGTACACACACACACATAAAAACAAAAGGGCTGAAGGAAGGCTCTGTCAGCAAAGGGCTTGTGGCACGGCCTGAAAGCTTGAGCGTGGATCGTTGACACACGCGTAAAAAGCCAGGTGTGTCTTTGGAATCACAGTGCTGGCAAGGCAGAGACAGGAGGATTTCTGCGGCTCACTGACCACCGGCTCTCACCTAATCAGTGAGCTCCAGGTTCCCTATGTCAGGAACAAAAAAAATCCAAGACAGACAACACCTGAGAAGCAGCACCTGCCATTGACCTCTGACCTCCACACACATGCAGATACGCATGAACATGTACACACACACACACACACACACACAATTAATGTCTCAAAAAATCCCAACTTCATAATCTTAAAAAATAAATAAAAATAAAAATCAAACATTGGCAAATTCATCATTAAAAAACAGATTTTTTTAACAATTGAAGAGTGATATGTGTCATCTATGGGTGTGTTTTTACAAATAGCACCCAGTCAGGTGACTTACCACACACTAAAGTCCAGGAAGCAAATGCTTCCAAAGCCACAGAAGGAGAAGGCCACCAGACTGAGCTGCAAACCCACGCTCATCTGGCCTCCAAGCCAACACTTTCCAGGGGAGCTTGCTAGCGAGAATGAAGAAAGATATTGCAGTATCAAAATCTTTTTTTAATCTACATAATTCATTTTGTTGAGTATTTCTTTTCTCCTTGGTGGCAGTGCCTTGCTATTTTTCCCCCACCTGTTAATTACTTGGGGTTTGTGCGGGGGTGGACTTGGCTTCCTGCAGCAGCCCAGGCAGGCTGTCACACTGTCAAGGATCCCTTCATTAACAAGCTGTCAATATGCTGCCAACAGCCGCCATTTGGTTTGTTCAGGGAGCGGAGCTGTGGTATGGAGTCTTGGCTCGATCAATTAGAGGAATTAAAAAAAAAAAAAAGGCAAGACACAGATGTCTCCCAGTCTGTTCTCTGCAACAGACTTGGGATCCGGCGTGGGTTTTCACTGGGAGGAAGGGGAGTTTAAAGAAAGTGTCAAGGAGGAGGCAGCTCATGGAAAAGTATGGCGAGCAAGACGGGGGTGTTCAAAGAAGCAGGCTTCTCACACCACGGGTTTCTGAGTGATGCTAGCTGTGGCCCTGTCCTTGCCACAGTGGACAGCTCAAAATCAAGCTTTTAAAATGGTTCAGAAGCCACCGCCAGTCCGATTTTTAAAGTGAAAGGTGCCATTTGCCTACAACCTTCTCAAAGTCACCCTAATGAAGGCGAGAAAATCTGCCAGTCCCAGGCAGCCCTTTAACCAGCCTGAGCTCTCCCTGTTAATTGGCACTGTCTACTTCTGAGCCCCCAGATCCTCAGGCTTTCCAGTCACAGCACGCCATCAAGGAGCAGGTTCTCAGAGGGCCTCGTGTAAAACAGGACGGCAGAAGACTCGCCTTTCAGCAACTGTTTCCAAAGCTTGGGTCGCGATAAAAACTTTATTCTGTCCCTGTGGTCTCAGAGCCGACTCTTGCATCTCCCCCCATTTCCCATTCACCTCTACTCCAGTCTCAGGGGATCCAACACCATCTTCTGGTCTTCCTGAGCATCAAATGTGCATGCAGACATACCTGCAGGCAAATTCCACATACATGAGAAAAATCCAAAGGGTTCAAGGTCATCCTCAGCTACAGAGTGAATTGGAGGCCAGCCTGGGCTACATGAGACCTTTCTAGAGTGGTAGGGAAGAAACTTTAAGATATGTCCATTTATATTACACTCTTCCTGTTTCACTGTGACAAATGACATTTGTAGACCAACATTCTTGAAATGAAGACGCACACACAGGTTGGCCAGAACTTCAATGATATCACAGACTGGTGAGCTAGGCAGATAGTAAAAATCAAATCCAAGCTTGAAAACAGTGACAAAAATTCCTCTTAGGGGAGTGTGACTATGACAAAAGTCACAGCAGCATCATACAGGTTCTAGGAGATTATTTGGGAATTGAGTATTTCAAATTTCTTAACATCTAGAGGAAAAAGATGATGTTTTGATTGGTTGTAGGCTTTAATTTAATTATATGTTCTACAGATATTCCTGGCTAAGGAAATGAAAAGAAAAATCTTCAGAAATAACAGAAGATATTTTCTCAAGCCAAGAGAAAAGAAAGTCTAAGCTGGACAAATGGAAAGCAGAAAATCAGAAAGAAATCCAAGTGCATCGGTAATCATGACAAGTGGAAATGGACTGACTGATTTAAAATAAAGACGATTCAAGCTGGGCTGTGGGGGAGAGGCTCCGTGAGTGCCTGCCACACCAGCGTGACGAGCCAGGCAGAGCACTGATCCCACACGTCTGTCTAGAGCCATGGGACTAAAGCAACTGGCAGAACACAGAAAGTTGCCTTCTTTCTGTCTTCCTCTCTCTCCTCCCTCCCTGTCTTCCTCCATCCCGGCTTCTTTCCTTTCTTTCTTTCATCTTATTTCTGCAAGACAGCCATAAAACTGGACTGCTTTGGAGGTCATAGGAGAGGAAAATTAATGCAGATGATTTTGCAAAGAAGGAAATACAAACAAAGAAGTTTGGCCCTGAGCCCCAAAGAGGAGCATGTCTGCTGCAGCCAGGAGGAGGGAGAAAGTGCCTTGGAATTGTGCAGGTGATTACAGAAAAAGAGCAGCCGGGCAGCACACCCTTGTCACAAGCTGGGTGTCAGTGTGTGGTTTCCCCCACAGTTCATAGAGTGAAAAGAATTGATTTGATGGAGCAGAGCTGGGAATCTGAACAAACTTGCTTCCAGACCTCGGCCTTAGCACTCCTTCACCAGACAGCCCATGGAAAACAGTATTTGTGACGACTGTCTACCATGACCCTCAGTAGAATCATGGCAGTAGGCAGACTACATCCAATCCACATATGTGACAGTATATGTAAAGGCTGAGCATAAAGCTATAGACCCCACTGACCTCTGCAAGCAAGCCCAGCTCACTATACAGGTTGTATGGCCCCTAAGAGGAAAGGAAAAAAAAAAGAAAAATCAAGCATACACGATGACTCTCTTTATGCATTCCTTTGTCTCCTACAATAAGTTTCATTTCCCCAAATATGTGGGAAATTTGTTTTCACCTGCAGCAAGTTTCTGTTTCCCTGTTACACCACAAAGAAAATTGGAGGACTGGGGGAGCATTAACCCCAGCCAACCAGTGACTGCTTCCAAATCCAGGCACCAAGGCAGGGGTTTCCCTTACAGAAATTTCTATATTCTGAGGCAGACACAGGAAACCCAATCTCTTCACCACAAGGAACATACGAATACCTTCAGTCCAATAAGAGAATAGAGAGCACTTCCAAGAGGGGGATACTCAACCCAAAATTTAAAATTAAAAACAAAAAGCAGGGTCCCTTAGAGTTGGTGGGCTCCTGGCTCTGGGGACCCTTCTCTATTGGGAAGTCTTCAAGGCCAATAAGCTTCACTTCCTCCTTGCTCTGAACTATTCTGCTGTCTCCTAAGTCTTTAATGGGCAGAGGGAAAGAACCCATCAGGCCAGCTGGCATCATACTTTGTGAATCCTGGTGGAATGCAGTCCACTCTCCAGGTTTCTGCAAGGCTCTGTTGAGATTCTGCTATTCCAGATACCTACAGATTTTAGGAGTGCTCCAGCCTACAGCCCGCCAGACACTTGGAAGGACAAACTTGTATGATGGCAGAGAGAAGGCTCAGAGTGGAAACCCACAAAGCCCCAAGCCTGGGCTAAGGACGATGAGGTGACCTTCGAGGTCACCTTTGAATGGCTCTGAGCAGGCTTTGCATGAAGTCTGGTGAGCAAGGACACTACTTGAAGGATGAAGAGACCGAAAGGCCCTCTCTAGAGCCAGAAAGTTAGCAGGGCCCCAAAACTCATTCATGCAGACACGAGTTCCAGAATGTCTACATGCCACACGTGTTGCTATGTATTGGGATACAGCAATGACCAAAGCAGGCAACATCAGGGTCAGAGATGACTCAGTGGTTAGAAGTGAGCACTGCTCTGGAAGAGGACTGGGCTCAGTTCCCAGCTCCCATGGCAGGCAGCTCAGGACAAACTGGAACTCCAGCTCAGGGGATCTGATGCTCTCTTCTGGCCTCTGACAACACCAACATGCAGGTGCCCTTACACAGACACACCACACACAAATAAAAAATGCAAGTAATTCTTTAAATAAAACAGACGAAACAGCTGCTTTGAGCAACTAAGATGTAATAAAACATAAACATACATTTTGATAAGTGCTGGGGGAAGAGAAAGGGGTAAGTCAGGGAGGGGAGACATGGGGACCAGCTCTGTGTGGGGTAAATAGACTCCTTGGAGGAGGCTTCACAGGGGGATGCAGAGGCAAGGGTCTAAGAAAAACAAGGGCTGGGTCACCTGGCTATCTGCAAAAGAGCAAGCCAAGCTGCAGAAGCAACAATGTTGAGGAATGTACACAAAGTGGCCAAACCCTGAGTTTTACTTACGATGACATGGCCACTGTATGCATCATGTGAAGAGACCCCTCTCTGGCTAGGGGGACAGAAGTCTGTCAGTGTCTTAAGAGACATCCCCGGTGGCAGGGATTCAGAGTGCCCTCAGCCTCACCCCTCCTTGCCATGCATAGCCAGGGTCACCTGCAGTAAACCATGTTTCCACCCATGCCAATTTATTGAGAGTTCACATCGCCTCTAGCTGTGGTTTCCCCAGCAACCATGCTTCTCTTATTATTATACTTTATTAGCTTCCTTTTCTTTTTACAGGAGAAAACTATTAGTTGTGAAATCCATTTTGTTCTGCTAGGAGCTGCACCACAGTTGACACTACCCAAACAGACTCCAAGATTAGAACTTCTTGCCTCAGTGAATACATTTTCTGACCTAACGCTGCCATCCAGGCACTGCAACTGTTTCTTCCCGGCTAGCAATAACCCGTAACGCTGAGCTCCTCTTTCACTTTCTTTCTTTTGCCTGACTTTATTTATGCCCTAAGTGACAAATTTCAGGCGATCTTTTGGAGTTCACTGGAAGCTAATTTTGAGATGAGGATGTAAGAGTGTTAAAATTAAATTCATCTTGAGAACAGGGGTGTCTATTTAAAATGCTGATGTTCCATTCCCTGTTAATGCAACGGAGAAGCTGTGAATCTGCAGTGGTGAAAGTCTGTCCTCACCCCACATCCTGCCTCTGTCAGCACAGAGGGAATAATCCCTGCCTCCGTAGGAAACCCAGGCCTCTGTGCCATGACTCTTCGCAAACCTCAAAACTTCTTCAGGGTCTTAGGTCCCCATTAAATACCACCCTTCAGTGCTGCCACCACGGAGTGCCGCCTTCAATTGCACGGACAGTCTGGACTGTCGTTGGCCTCAGCCTCCTTACAGCATCGGAAGCTGTGGCACACTGTTGTGCCCCCATGGATGAGATTCTCTGTCACCCTGTCTTTGCCATACCTCTTTTGCGGGCATTTCTTTCTCAGTGCACTCTGGTGTGCTGAGTCAGGTTCTAACTCTCTGGGCTCTAAAACTCCAAACACTGTAAGGGCTTCTTACGCACATTCTGTGGGTCCCCAGGCATGGCTGCCCATTCCTGTCACTCATTTCCCGCTGATTGGGCCCTATAGCGGGCTGTCAGAAGACTCACACATCCCTCCAATTGATGAGTCAATAGCAAATTGACTTGTTTCCACAGCCTGTGCACAGGGTATTCAGGACTGAGTTTCTCTAGTTTGTCCCATCGGGACTCCAATTTGCCCACTGTTCACTTCACGGGCTTTTGCTCATATGTTAACCACGGCAATACTTTCTGAGGGAATCACTCATTTCTCCTACTGCTGCAACTAAAATCTTTGTACACCTGCTGGCACTAGCATCTACTATCATGTGTGTACACTCCGCTGTCACTTGTCTGACACCGGGACCTTTGAAGTATCGATGGTTTTGTTGGTCAGTGTTTCACTGCAACACAATGAATGTGTCTTAAATAACAGGATGGAGACAGGGAAGGGGAAGAGACTCTGGTTCTACACATAGAGGAAAGGGAGAAATTATAAAACTTTCCCAAATTCCATGAAACTGCAATCCCCAGACCCAAGAGCAATGTGTGTGTGTGTGTGTGTGTGTATACACATGTGTGTGTGCATGCAGGTGTGAATGCATATATGTTTGTATGCATTCCTGTCTAGGAAAGAGATCAACCTCAGCTGTCATTTCCCAGGAGTCTTCCACCTTGTTTTCTGAGACAGAATCTATCACTGGACCTGGGACTTGCTAAAAGGACTGGGTTAGCTGGCCAGTTACACACACACACACACACACACACACACACACACACACACACACACACCAGCATCTGCCCGTCTTCGCTTCCCTAATGCTGGAATTATGCATATGGACCACTGCATCAAGCCTTGTAACACGGGTGTGGGGATGGAACTCAGGTCCTCGTGCTTGTGCAGAAGGCTCTTAACAAAGTGAGCTACTCCTCCATGCACAGCTTTTAGATGTGAAAAGACCAGGACTCTCCTCCTACAGCACAAGTATCTTGCCCATCATTTTCCTCTCCATTTTGTTAGAAATGGCATGAGTGTGCTTTAAAAGACAATCCAAGAAGGAAAAATTCTCATGG